GGAACCAAATAAGGGATCAAGAGGAAAAAAAAGTATAATAAAGTGAAAATCAAAATCATTGGGCAACTATAGATCAGAGACATTCTATAGGGGAGGAGGAGGGAGGAGGAGCAGGACAGGAGTGGGAAGAGCACAAAGGGACTAAGGTGATAGTGCATGGGTGAATTGGTGGTGATAATTTCATGGGGAGACCACACATTGTAAATGAAAGATGATTTAATAAATAACATTAAAAAAAAATAAACTCTCCTAGCATCTTTCAAATATGCAATACAGTATTAATAACTATACTTAACCATGCTGTGCATTATGGCCCCATGATTTTATTATAACCGGAAATTGGACTTCACACTTTAAACACCAAGTCCATATTATACATTATACTTATTATCTTCTTTAAACCCTAGTCAGTTTGTAGCCAACATACTCCCTCAATTTTTAATTAATTCACTTGCATAGAGCACAGTGTTTGCTCATAGCTACAGGTGTGTCAAAAGCATGTTTGAAAGACTTTCAGGTGGCCATGGATAAAGTTCTTTATTTCAGCCAATCATCTCACAGGCATGTGCTCCTGGGACAGTAGGGGTTTAAGTATGGAATTTTTTTGTGTAAATCCAAGGCTACTTTTGAGGGGGATGCAATTGAATTGAAGTAGATTTACTGCAAGAGAGTGACAGCATCTTGCTTTCAGTGTGATCACTTCTTTTAAGTGATTGTGATTGCAAGAAGATGCTGCTATGTTCCATTTTTTTTCATTAGAAAAGCTAGCTGATTTAAGCATTTGGAATTTTTAAAATATAAATTTGGCCACTAAACAGTTGCTGACATTCAACTTTCTGATGCATATATGCAAATTAAAAGTAAAAATGCTTTTTATAAATAAAAATTTCTTTTTATTTAGAAGGGCTCACCCTGCAGGTTTCGAAGAAATTTCCTCATGTAGTTCTGATGGCTAACCCTTGCAATAGAGAATAGTAGTAATCATTTTGGTCAGGAATATTTTCTGATTATGCTTTGTCCATCATAATCATGACTTAATGTCATTATCTGATTTTAAGTATACAGCTTCCGAATGAGAACTCTAAATTATGCATTGTAAATTGTACTTGTAATAAATATCGCCACTAATTGCCAAAAATTGGATTTTAGAATAATTACCTAGAATTTATTGATAATTACATTTTAGTACGTTAGAATTTGGAGCATTCTAAGAAACTAACAAAACTTTGCTGGACCCTATCCCCAGAGATTTTCATTGCCCCCAGGTATTAATGTCTTCAAAGCTCCCCATAAATAGCCAGGATTGAGACCTATTGGAATAAGCTACCAAATCTATAATAGAAGAACAAAAGAGAAAATTGTAGTGAAGGACATGGTTTTAATTTGTAGTTACATTTAAAACTTGTAATATTTGGATCTAACTAACTTTTCTTATTTTTTTTTTAATCCTAGGGTCTCTATGGTAGTGTGATAGTGGCAGGAGGAAACACACTAATACAGAGCTTTACCGACAGGTTGAATAGGGAGCTTTCTCAGAAAACCCCCCCAGTAAGTTACTTGCTTTTTAGTGATCTTCAGCCTTAACTGTTCTCACTGATGGTGTAATTTTATATTGATGAGATTCATTTTTTCAGTAGATTTTTGTGTATTTTGTGTACAATATTACTTAAAGTTCACATTTTACTAGATGATAACTATTACTCTTATTTGAATCCTATTTTATTCATTGCTTTCATACTTAAGTGCCTATAATCTGCTAGGTGGTAGGATTAAAAAAAAATACAGTCCCTGCCTGCCATGGGTTCAGTCAAGGATGTATAGGTATATGAAAAATGACTGTAATGTGCTAAAGCTTCAGAATGTCATGAAACAAGTACTGTTGGGAACAGAGGAGCAAGCACCTAAATCCTTGGAAATCTCAGAGGAAGGCCTCTCGAAGAAACTATAAAGACTAGAACTGTTCAGCTGGCTGACCATTTGTGAAAAGGCAGAAAAATTGGAAGGAATACCATGTGCAAAATATGAAGGGAAGATGGCATATTCTAGTCGTTCAAAGAAGTTGGTATATGGTCTGTGTAGAAGTGGGGAGGAGAGTGTCGTGACTTGAAAATTTGGATGATCTGTTAGTATCTATGGGTGCTATAACCAGCTACCACATACTGGGTGACTTAAAACAATTTAAAATCTTTCAGTTCAGAAGCTAGACATCTAGAATCAATATATAGTGAGGCCAGGATATTCTGAAATACTGAAGATCCTTTCTTACCCCCTTCCTAGTTTCTGATGGTTTGCCAGCAATCTTTGGTGTTTTGTGGAATGTAGCTATGGCAGTTCAGACGTTATCTCTATTGTCACATGGCATTCTCCCCTTTCTTAAAAGGACTTGTTTTAACTTTTTAGTCTTCAACATACACAGAAACCCTATATCCATTCAAAATACTAGGGATTAGAATTCAACATTATCTAACCCACAACAGGTTATGTTGCTTAAGAGTAATTGTTTATTATTAATGTTGCTTGTTCTATCTTATTATTAGAGGACTTACACAATAAAATTTGACAGAGGTCTGAATGGCTCCTGCATTTGGTATATGATAGTAACTTGTGAGGACAGAAGATCCTGGTTTAAAGAGAAAGAATTAATAGTCATAACCTTAAGATTTTAAAAACTGCCCTCTATTAGTTTTTAAGGAGTTACACTAAATAACTACATTAAAAAATTATTAGGCCCTCATAATACCTAAAGAATTTGTGTATTTGATAGTTTTAGTTAAATGTTGACATAAGCACAAGTTTGAATGCCTTATTTTACTAATCTTTAGATATATTGACCTAGAGCACATTTAATGATAATCATTAGATCTCTTAGAAAGTCAGAATTTAACTTCCTGTCACCTTATTATATTTGATCATACTAATACTTACTTTTCCCTGTTTTAGAGTATGCGGTTGAAATTGATTGCAAATAATACAACAGTGGAACGGAGGTTCAGTTCATGGATTGGTGGCTCCATTCTTGCTTCTTTGGTTAGTAAATACTTCGCAAAATAAAGAATCATACTGAATAATTTAATTGTACCAGTGAAAATACTGAATTTAATAAAAATACTAAAAAAACTAAGTACATTATCTTTGTACTTACTGTTGTCAACTGGAGAACCAGAAATATAGAATTAGTCTTACATTTTCTAACATTTAGAGAAATACTTCATTCCTTTATTAGTGGATGTTTGTAATCCTAATTTGTTTCCCCTCTCAAGCGGAGGTGGAAAATCTAACTCATTCATGCCTCTTCTCTCATTGGACTTACCTGTAGCACAATTAGGTTACTCCTTCTCATGTCTGGTTGCCTCATGGTGAGGAAAGGAAGTCAGAAATTGTTCTTGGGGCAAATGGTGAATTCATGGTGCTAGATTTTGCGTTTTGCTTGGACTGGTGCTGTCTTGAATTCAGGAGTCCTTGTAGTTTCCTGTATACTCTATACTTGAAGCATTTTGCCCCTCACCTCAGAGCAGCCAAGGCACATGTCATAAAGTACTTGAGCTAAGTATCTTTAAGTTATAAGTGAAACTGTCCACTTATTCCTTTTCCATGCTCTATTTCTAATTTCCTAATACATTTTAGATCAAATTGTATTCCATGTAATAACTTGAATAGTTAAGGAGCAGATTTTATTAATGTAACCCAGATTCTTTTGATCATGTTTTTACCTTCTGTTTATTTGGTATGGTGCTTATGTACTATATTATATATACTTGCAAGATTTTTGGTTCTGAGGGGCACTTTTGAGTTCTAAATATTAACATTTATTAAGTTCTAGAATAATTGTTAATAGTTCTGTGGTTCACCAAACCTTCCAACAGTTTCTGTTGTAGCTTTAGGTTGACACAGAGCCATCATAGCTAAACCCTTTATCTTCTTTCACCATCATTTGAAAAACCCACAATAGTGTAACAGACTTAAAAGGACTTAATATACTTTCTAACCTTAGACAAGACTAAATAGTGCCTTTGGGTGTGTGTAGGACAGAAATAAGAAAACAATAATGAAATATCATTCGGGGGAATTTAAGAGTTCGTCAGAGATGTGAGAGTTATTAAAATAAAGAATTTAGAAGACTTTCTCATAAAGGTAGAATAATACATATACTTTTCTATTTTACAGGGCACGTTTCAACAGATGTGGATTTCCAAACAAGAATATGAAGAAGGAGGGAAGCAGTGTGTAGAAAGGAAATGCCCTTAAAGAGTTCCCAAATCTCTACCTTCCTGTGTCACCTTACGTTTCATAGCTTTAGTATACTCAGGAAAAGAATGACCATCTTTTGTAGAATGTTTATACATTTTTGCATATTTCAATTCCCACTTAAATTTTTAAAGGCTTTAACTGGATCTATAAATTAAAATAAGTTTGTGCTTTCCTTGAAATACACTTATTCTTATTACAAGCATTTTATAATTTTGTATAAATGTCTATTTTCTCTAAGATTTTTTTTTTTTTTTCAGTAAAATGCTTTTCAACTTTGTTTAGTATCTTAATTGCCAGTGGACTGATAGAACTCCTTTTTATTAACTAGTAAGACTTATTGCCTATGCTTTTTACATTAGGCTTGCAAAATTAAATAAAAATTACTAGCCATTCCAGAAATACAATTTTGGGCTGTTGTGTGTTATCACCACTTTAAGCATTAAATGTATTTTTCAGTATTTTAGGTGAAAAGTATTTACTGTTTATTAACAGTCCAAACTCCCTTCATACTTTACTAATGATAGTAGTAAAACTGTTATCTGAATCCCAAAAACTACTGTATTGCCTTTGCTGGAGCAGTTGGTATCATTTTACCACAGGTGACACTAAAAACTTTAGAAAATGGTAATTTGAACTTTACACCTGAAATTAAAAATATCTGGAAGAAGCATGACCCAATTTCAGAATTAGTATGTCTCATATAAATACCACAATTGATAGCTATTTGATTAAAACACAATTTCTTGACAAGCCATTTAATATATATTTACTTTTATAAATCAAAACCAAAAATGGTCAATGAAGAGCTTAGACATCTTAAGCAAGACTTGTCTTCTGAGTTTGAGAAAGATGTGGAAACTTTTCCTGAAGAAATTTTTCTTTCTTTTTCTCTAAACTTTTCTTCCTGGTTTTGATGCGCATTTGTTTCTCAAGTTTCAATCTATAATAATAAAAGCATAACAGCAATTTATGTAAAATTTCTCTGTTATCAATATGAAAACACATCAAGCAATATGTTCGAATCAATTACTTAAAAGCCTCAATCATGCCACTCTCTGTATCAGGTATGTCATGTGTATTATTAAACTTGAACAGTCACTGTAAACCTGCACAAGCCAAATGTGAAACCAAAAGCATCTAATTTACAGTTTCTAATTTCCTGACAGGAAAGAATGTATAGATCTTTTGAGCCTATAACAGGTTGAGCTATCTTTCTACTATATTTTATTGAATATATTAAACTTTTTACATCCGAGATATGCCCTGAGACTTTCCTAATTGCCTAATTTCAAATAATATTCATTATACCATGTCATTCCCTCTACAAGGAGAAATAAAACCACACTAAGAAATGATGCTTAGGTGCCAGTATGACTAATGTCATATGAGGCATTTGTACCTCATTTAATTATGTTACTCTCTTATGACCACTCATGAATCATAAAAATTGCAAATAATGGGATCTTGGATACTAATTCTCAACTTTAGTTGGTAATTTACAAGATAGATTATTAATCAGTAGGCATACAAGCTATAGCAATACCATAAAAGGAGTATTTAACTAACCATCATATGGCACTGCTAAGGGGGAGGTCATAGAAATTGTGATATGCATTATATTTGGTTAAAGATAAAATACATGTATAAACAAAGGAAGATGTAAGCTACTCTGTAATAAAATATAAATACTAAACTAAGCTGAAATCTGATTATCTACTAGTCATTAAAATTTAAATTTTAATCATTCATAAAAAAAAAATCTGAAAGAATAAAGGTTCAAGAATATTCAGATTAAACTAGAAATGTGTGGAAAAAAGAAACCTTTCACTGTTGGTGGGAATATAGACTGGCCTGAGCCCTATGGAAAGCAGTGTGGAGGTTCCTCAAAAGACTACGTGAATCTGCTATATCACCTACCAATTCTACTCTTAACTCTGTACTCCCAAAATACAAAACGCTAATTCAAAATGAATCCTGCACTCCTATGTTTGTTACAGCACTATTTACAACAGCCAAGATATGGAAATAACTAAAGTGCCCTAAAGCAGAAGAGTGGGTCAAGAAAGACACAGTATATTATATGAGCAACGGAATATTACTCAGCAATCAAAAAAGATAAACTCAAAGCTACTTTTAGCAACTTGGACGGAGCTGGCAGGGATTACGCTAAGTGGAATAAACCAGAAGGTGAAAGATAAATACCAGATACCAGTGTCACTTGGGAAATACAGAAAAACCAAACAAAGGGTCAAAGGAACTTTAAAACCCTTGAAAGCTGACTACAGAGCTGAGGTGTCCAGGGAAGAAGGGGGATGGGAGGATGTAGAGGGTAAGAGCACAATGTACTGTGGTGATGGACTATGGGTGCCTTGATGATAGGAGAGCTACCATGACCACACCTAAAGGGAAAAATCCTACACTGTAAAACCAGTAAGACAATGTTATTTCATTAAAACTTTTTAAAAAGATTTAAAGAATAATCAGATTATACTGTCTCCTTTGATATAAGGCTTTTGCCTGTAAAAAAGGTACCAGATTCATAAATTCTTTATTTAAAAGTCAAGTTACATATCACTAAGGGGCAAAAGGATGAAATGGTACGGCTTGAAGAAATTGTAGAAAATAAAAGCAGTGTAGTTAGATGCCTTCAAGTGCTCATCAATGCAATAAACATCTGCATATGGAGATTTCAAAGCTGAAGGAACAAGACAAGCACAATGGTAGAAAATGATCAATGTATTTAGGAAATAGGAGAAAGGTCTAACTTTGATGAAGGGTAACATTAAATTGTGGAAAAATGGGGTGGTGGTGAAGGATCTGGATTTTATACGGTAGACAAATAATTCTGTATGTTTCTTCAACAGCACTGATGTCATAAAAAGCTTGAGGAAAATTAGCCAGAAACAACATTTTAATAAACTGGAGTGAGTAATTCAATTTGATGAAGCAGAATTGCACTAGAGCAAAGAGTGCTGAAGAAAGGCCAGATCCTGGAGACATTTTTGAGGAAGAGTTGAAGGATTGGTGGACATTAGAGCACTGAGGATGAAAAGGTTAAGTGCTATGCAGAATGGAGTACTGAAGATAAAACTTGATGAGAGGCAGCTGGTTTTGGTGGAGAAAGTGAAGAACCTAAACTGATTCTGAAGTATACTGAAAAAAAAAGTTCAGTGTAAAGGTAAATTTCAATCCTGTTTTAAGTTTCTCTGAAGTATTTTTGTTGTTTTGTATGGAACAAATGTGGGGGGAAAAATCATTTTTTAAAAGACACTTGCTGAAAAAGGATGTGCCATCCAAGTTAGAAGCTGGAGTTCATGAGCTGTAGGAATTTCCCTTTAAATTCCAGTACTTTCCTTAAATTCTGATCTTTCTCTAGCACCTTTACGCAGTAACCTAGAATCCCTACCCTGTTTCTTTCTGCAGTCATCAGAATGGGAATTGGGGAACAGCCTGCCCTGGAAACCACAAGCAATTCTTTCCCATTCCAGTTGCAATTTTGGCTTCTGTCTGCTATCAGATGTGGATTCTCATGTTTTAAAGGAACTTTTAAACTAGTTTTAGTTTTTATAATGATTAGCTAGGGGTTCATGAGACCATTTACATAGAATATGTTCTATATTCTCCCTCTTCAATAGTAAACTCAATGCCAAAATTAATTTGTTATAGAAAATACTTAGAAATCGACATTCTGCAGGATGAGATGAATTCAGAGAAAATACAACAGGCTTCTTACCAGAGCCTCTTCATTTAATGAACCCTGCAATCAAATGAGCTAATATTTTATGGTACTGAAGTATTCAGACCTTCCTTTTAAATCTAAGGATTTAGCCATTATTTGCATACAGATTGATGAAAGAGAAAAGTCATGGAAGAATATACTTTAGAATGCTATCAGATATTTCACAATAGTAAGATCATATAAAACTTTGTCCTCTGATTTTTCTATTTTTCCACAATGAACATGCATTACCTCGTCATCTGTCATTGAACATAAAGTCAAATATTTTATTATTAAGGTACAAGGGTAGCTCACCTGACAAAGTGGTCTACATAGGGCATCGCAAAAAATCGTTTCCTCTTGTATCTTTTGTTTAGGTACCACGGTATAGGCCACTGTTTGAACTTGTGCCTGCCAATAAAGAAAAAAGTAATGTCTTATAGAAAACTAAATACATTTCCACTGTTCACAATTTTAACCTTCTTTGGATTAAACAAAATGATATCCCTTACAGGTCTCTTGTAAGTGTTAATGAAATAAGAAATATTATAAAGTTGGAGAAAAGTGTAGAAAATATACAGCAATATAAATGAAGTAAACCCATTGCAAAATTGCAATGTTAATATTTTGCAGTGCTTGCTTCAGATCATAAATTTAAAGATACAGATAAAATTCTCTACTTACACAACAGTTCTGAGCCACAAACTGAACAGTATCATTGCCAGTTTTCTTACATATATACAAACTATATATGTACATAATCACATATACATTTGTATGCATTTGTGTACATAAACATAAGTATATATTTCATGTATATTTTGTACTTTTAACATGTAAGTAAATTGCACCAACTTTTACAGTTATCTATATCTATTTCAACGTAATGAAACCTAAAAATCCATAATGTTGAGTAGGAAAAAAGGAAACTATGAATTGATACTGTATTTATTTGAAAATACTTCAAGTAAGAAAGTAGGAGGATTTGAGCATTTTTTAAAAATTTAGATTAATCTGTTATATTAAAGCCTAAATTTCAATCTCTTTGTAACTCTGGCTTTCATTATATAATTTGATAGTCAGTGTCGCAAAAGATACTAGGTATTTTATTTCCGTCAGTTCATCAAAAAGGTAACAGTCAAGGGGCTGAAACATCCAAAAACCAATCCCTAACAAGACTGTCAAATGTTCTTTTTGAGAGGAAAAAAAATTTTGGATGTAATTTTTTAAAGAAAGGGCTCTGCATTTAAAATAAGGCTACCTTAATTTTACATGCAACAGAAAATTAGGAAAAAGGCACTGGAACTAAAATGTCTGAGTTTATAAGTAACATAGGAAAGACGACATAATTGCTTTGTTCACTATTTTCACTCAGGAAAAATTAAAAGCAAAATTGAAAAAAATCCTTGAAGAGAAAAGCTCTTCCACAGATTATAAAATTGACATTCCCACCCCTTTCTAGTTGACCTCAATTGGAACAACCCAAATAAAATGAATAGAAAATAAAAGTTCTTAGATGTTTTGGCAATCTATTTCATGCACTGTCTTAAACGATTATAGTAACACAGATCCCCTAAATCTAGCTGCAAATTCTGTCTGGCCAGGCTGCCCCTGTTTTTCTTAACTGCCTCAGAATGGGGGTCTGTGGGGGCACGGTGAGTCCTAAACACCACAACCTATAAGTAAGTGCTATTATTTGGTATAATTATCAAAATAACCTATAAGTAAGTGTTACTATTTGGTATAATTTCAAAAACAAGACATTCTCCCACCACCCAAAATACCTTCCCCATTTTGTTGACCTAAGCTTAAAAATCTGCTAATAATGCTATCTTTTGGCAACTCAATCCAAATATGAATTAACTCCTGTGATAGAGAGAATATACTTGCTCTTCTCAATTATTTATACCTCAGTGTGAAGTTTATTATCAGGATTCTGGGAACTGCATGTGCACCCTGATGGCCACAGGAACAAGCCGAAAGAACTCACTGAAAGTTTTTTTTAATAGTCCCAGCTTCTTAATGGGCAAAGAGGACAGGTGTGCATCCTAAAATTAGTTTACTGGGGCATAGAACTCTGAAATTATATGTGCACAGATATGTTTTTCTAGGGGAAAAGACCTATAATTTTCATCAAATTCCCAAAAGTCCTGTGATTCACATACGATAAAGAACCTATAAAAACTGAATCATAGAAATGGGATGCCTGGGCTACCAGATAAATCTACCTTCCTTCATATTCTGGAGCTCCAAAGGAGTTTAGAGACATATGTTTATATTAGCTACAGCTCTGAGGTATCTCATATGATCAGTTTTCTTAAGAGATACTGGATGGGGTTGAGGCATGGGCTTTACATGCTCATTTTAGAAAATCACAATGTAATTTGTACCATATGATTCTTCCAAAGATGTCTCTTCTCCAAGCACCAGGTCTAGCTTTTTCTTGACCAGTCTGAAGAAGTCTTATAGCATCTTCTCTTTCCTGAACAACTTTATCTAATGCATCCATGGAATCTATTACCTGAGACAAGAAAAATACACCTTATTCAAAATGACAAACTTCTTTCTAGTTTAACTTTCCCAGAGCCAAAAATACCTTCCCACAATTCAGTTTATATCTTAAATTGAGAGTAATTTTTTTATTTCTTGATAAAGTTTCCTTAGTAGTGTCAGAAACCTTGAAAAAAATTGCATATATTTGAGGTTTAAAAAAAATATGGTCACTTTCAGCTTACCTGAAGAAAATTTATTGTTTTTCTTCTACTAATTGAAAGAGCTGAAATTCACCTCTGAATAAACTTTTTAAAGCAGGGGGAGAATAATCTACTATTGAAGTTTAAGTCTTATAACAACACCACTCTAGCAAAAACTCTTCCAACAAATAATGTGTTTATATGTATTTAGAAATATAATGCATTTATAATAGCCAATGTCTGAAGTAAAGATATAATTACTTTATTTTACAAATGTTGTAGAGCAAAAAAGACATCTACCAC